AGACGGGGTTTCACCATGTTGACCAGGATGGTCTCGATCTCTTGACCTTGTGATCCACCCGCCTCGGCCTCCCAAAGTGCTGGGATTACAGGCTTGAGCCACCGCGCCCGGCTTGCATATAATTTTTAATGTTTAAATGTGTAATGTTTTCTCACTAGGTAATATTTTAAGTAGATAAATTTTTAATTTTAAAATTAGTCTTCAGCCAGGTGAGGCGGCTCACACCTATAATCCCAGCACCTTGGGAAGCCGAGGGAAGAGGACTGTTTGAGTCCAGCAGTTTGAAACCAGCCTGGGCAACATAGTGAGACTTTATCTCTACAAAAAATCAAAAAATGAGGTGGAAAAACCGTTTGAGCCCAGGAGGTTGAGGCTGCAATGAGCCATGACTGCATCACTGCACTCTTGCCTGGGTGACCAAGTGAGACCCTGGCTCAATAAATAAATAAAAATAAAATTAGTTTTCAATAGCTCTAAAGATTTAGTCTTAAAATTTCTCTGCTACTTCTGCTACTTAATCACTCTTAAGAAAAAACAAGGCTCTTTTTACTTCTCTATTTCACCTAATGATTCTAAAATTTTCTGAGATCATGCATTACCCTGATGATCTAATCGGTATGATACAGATATGCATTGTACTACAGGGTGTAGCTATTTAAATTTAAAATATTTAAAATCAAATAAAACTAAAACTTAAGTTCCTTAGTTATGCTAGTCACATTTCAAGTGCTCAATAGCCGTATTTAGCTAGTAGCTACCATATGAGACAGCACAGAAATGGAACATTGTCGTCATATGGCACAGAATAGGTTCTATCCCCTGGGGGAAAAATATGCAAACCTGCATATAACATGAGAAGGATTAGGACATGCCTAAACCTAGGACTTCCAGATTAAACCCTTCCCTTAACTAAAAACAGATTCCTTCTTCCATGCATTATTTTTCTCGGATTTTATTTGAACCAACTTGTATTATCCCATGAGGTATATTCAGAAAAATATTTGAAATTCACCATACTTACTTGATCCTTCCAAGATTTGAATTTTCCTCATCCTATTATCTCACCCTAAGATCTAAATGGCAATCTTTTAAGATAACATCTATGAAAAAAATTTGTAAGAGTTTTTAAAGACACGTTGGCCTAGATTTCTTGAAGATTTAAAAATCTTACTGATGAAACACCTACAATAAAAGATATGGTGTCTCTTCCTTTCAGATTCTATGTAAACCATGGGGAAGCAATTTGAACTTTCTAATTCTACTTAAATAAAATATATGAATTATAACTACTACTCCTTCGAAGTATTTGTCTTCAGGCTGAAGCGTATTACTGTCAAACCAATATTGGTTAAAACTGATGAAAAGGGAAAATATAATTGCTTATATAATTTCTTTAATATTTTTATTTTGCATATTCTTATATTTGAGAATATAAAAAATGTATTTCCAAGAAACATTACTTAAGATTAAAAACATTAATATTTTTTTTCTACAAATGTGTAAAAAAGTACACTGTAAAAGAAAATTACAATAAAAGCCATATAACTTGATTACCAGGAAATATATAAATTAATAAATTAACCTTATATTGACATTAATAATAAAGTAAGTTATAACAGGTATATTTGCAGTAAGTGTTGCCTTTAAAGGAAACATGTCCAAATTAGGCTGTTAAAAGATACATCCACTAAAATTTTCCTGTTGATTACTTTAGGAATATCTATAATTCCCTCAAAGCAAAATGGAAGAAAGAAAAATTGACCTTTGAAGATCTAGTATTTTTGTAAAATGCTTTCTTTGGGTAAATATAAAATATACTTTTCAATACAGTTACAAAACAATTTGTTAAGCTATGTAAGTCCATTTAGTTGTAAAAGAAATTTGGAAGATACAAATAATATATAAACAATAACATGAAAACTACCTTTAATGGTCGGTGGAACTACACAAGAACCACATTAATACCCAGAAATGTTAATATTTTGCTGTTTTCTTCTTTAGTTTTTTTCTCTATGCATACACATATATAATTTTAAAATTAGGTATGAGAAAATATGCATATATAAATAGTATATATAATATAGTTTTAAAAAAGGACCAGTACTAAGATTAGCTCACCTTTTTCCTTAAGATTTCGAAATAGCTTTGATGAGCCTTTCCAAACTGGTGGTGTTTCTGCAAGCATTTGATTTAATTCCTGTGAAAGAAGTTATTATACTACTGATGAATTGGTAAACCACTTACTTATAAAATGGATCAAAAACATGTTTAAATGTCCATGCAAAATTCTCCACTTTAAAGACCTGAAACATGGCATTATTTATCCTATGTTATGCCTGTGGCTCATTCAAGCACACAACCCAATATTTGCGCACAGTTCAAACATAAAAGAAATGATGAAGAGGCTACACTAAATTTAATTATAGCTACCTAAAATTTCAGATAAGTTTCATAACGGCAGGTTATATATGAGACAGCCAAATCAAGATAAAATGGTGACTTTAAGTTCTGGAGCCAGTTATAAAGGGATCATTTTATGAAAGCCATGGAAAAACGTGGATTTCCATATCAAGGTCAGAGATGGTCATGTCACCTGGCTTTATGTAATGTCTCTTTTTTGTAACATATTTGGATTTAGAGGGCTTTGTGTAGAGGAAATAAATGAACAAAGGATTATGTTAGAAAAGAATGAAGAGTATTTTGATGATTAGTGATGACATTGATTAAAGAATGATGACATTGGATTAAGCAGAAAAATGGGTACTGAGTTATTGTGGTCACTGTTTCAATTTGTTTCTAATTTTAACTTAAATATTAAAGAACACAGACTTCAACTGCTGCTTAGCTTGTTCTTTTTTTAAAAAAATCAATCTATCACTGCTGCTGAAAAAATATCAGAGAATTTAAACATTTGGATCATTACTCATATACGAAATCAATTTTGAATTTATTGTGGATAGTCTTAAAAACAACTAAGTGAAAACTATAATTTGGTTAATTGTGAAGAAAAATGATTAAAGGATTTGGTGAGAGAACTTGAAATTTGGTGAGATAATTTGAAACAATAAAATTAGTCTGCTTAGAAACACATAAAACAAACATAGAACCCACTTCTATTTTCAGATCTGATCCTCACTCCCCAGTGAATGTGGCTCCCCAAAAGTTTGAGCATCACTTGGGAGTTTGTGCAAAATGCAGAATCTCAGTGCCCATCACAGACCTACAGAATCACAACCTGCATTTTTAACAAGATCTTCTAATTTTTCATACATTCAAGCATTTCAGACAAATCCTTGCCAATGAAGCTGTACCTAAAAATGCCTTCTGACATTTATAAATTTTTTTTTTAACTGCAAAGCTGAGCTAGCAGGAAAAGAAAATTTTGGGTATATCAAAGGCAGGAACAGCATTTTTATTTTGAGACAAGAGTCTCACACTGTCATTCAGGCTGAATTGCAGCTACATAATCTTGGCTCACCGCAACCTCTGCCTCCCAGGTTCCAGCAATTCTTCGTGCCTCAGCCTCCCAAGTAGCTGGGATTACAGGTGCCTGCCACCACATTCGGCTAATTTTTTTGTATTTTTAGTAGAGACAAGGTTTCACTATATTGGCCATGCTGGCCTTGAACTCCTGACCTTGTGATCTGCCCACCTCAGCCTCCTAAAGTGCTGGGATTATAAGCGTGCATCACTGTGCCCAGCCGGAACAGCATTTTTAGGGGATTTATGGACACCTTGAAGCCCATATGTGGATTCTTGTGTTCATTTTCTTTATGTTTCTATATCTGCACTGCAAGTAAAAAATGCCACCAGATAATCAGTGCATCTAATTATAGTATAGCAATGGCACAGAATAATTCAGGTCCAAATTGAAATGAGAATCTGGGATATTTATTGTTTAGGCAACAGTAAACTCAAACATTTTTGTCAGAGTAAGAGATTTAATAAAACATTCTGGGCTGGGATCAGTGGCTCACACCTATAATTTTAGCCCTTCAGGAGGCCGAGGTGTATAGATCCCTGGAGCCTAGGAGCTTGAGACTAGCTTGGGCAACATGGTGAAACCCCGTTTCAGAAACAAACAAGCCAACATCAGCTGGGTATGGTAGCATTCATCTGTAGTCCCAGCTACTCAGGAGGCTGAGGTGGGAGAATCACTTGAGCCCAGGAAGTGGAGGCTACCGTGAGCCACCATCACACCGCTGCACTCCAGCCTAGGCAACAAACCCTGTCTCAAAAAAAAATTTTTAAATTTAACAAACAACATTCTAAATACATTTTATGTAGCTTAATTTATACCATTTCTATTGTAACTGTATAAATGTTAACTAATCTTTCTCTATTTTATTGTTTCCATGTCTTCCAACCTCATCTGTGCTAGCTTAAACTCAGCTACAGTGTAAGACTGAAAAATCAAAATGTAAGATTGAAAAATCATAGCTAGCTTTTATTGTGTGCCCTCTACGTATTTGGCAATAGGCTTATACAATATGTCATTCTTAAAACAACCCTCATTATGCATATTTTACCAAGACTTAAAGTGGATAAGTAACACCCAAGGTCACAGAGCTAATAAATGACAGAGCGAGACCCTGACTGACTCCAAGTAGCTTATTTTAGTAATAATTTAGTTTCTCCTGGTCTAAATCATCCAATCAACACATTCATCTTGTCTTCTCTGTTAACATTAAGAACTTCTAAAATTTATGAAAATCTTTATATTTCCACCCATGTTGGGAATCTCCCTAAGCCCAATTCCCAGCTTGGTTTCATATGTAGCAGTGCTATATTATAAAGAATTTGGCCTTTGTTCCTTGTTCCTAGGAAGAAGATTCTAAATCCTTGATTCATTCCTGAGTTTATGCTAAGGAGATGACTCAGGAGGGGAGCTGCTTACCAGAAAGAATAACTGTGATGAGTTGGGCCTGTAGCTTGACCTCTGGGGAAAACAGAGAGGCTACAGATAAAGTTCAGTCACACGGCGAATTCAATCAATCATGCCTATCCTAGTAAAAATTCTAGGTACCAAGCGCAGCGGAGCTTTCTGGTTGGTGAACATGCTGCTGGGCAAGGAAGGTGACACACCCCAACTCCATGTTCTTAAAAGAGGGCATAGAAGTTCTGTGTTCAGGACCTTCCCAGACCTTGCCTTGTCTGTTCATCTGGCTGATCTTACTCTGTATTCTTTCTAATAAAACCATAACTGTAGGTGCTGCATTTTCTGAGTTCTATGAGTCATTCCAGCAAATGATTAAACCTGAGGAGAGCTGTGGCAACCTCTCAGACTTGCAGACAGTAAGGTCAGAGTGTGGGTGGCCTGGAGCCCCCAAACTTGCAACAAGCATCTGAAATGAGGGCAGTCTTGCTAGGCACTATGCTTAACCTCAGAGTGGTTAGTGTTAGCATTATATTGTAGGCAGAAAATAAATATTTGCTGAATTAAATTCAGTTTCCTAGAATTACAGTTGCCTTTTAAAGGAGTTACACAATTTTCTTAAATGAGTACTATTTTAATAAAATTATACAGTTAATACATATATATTATAGAAAAATTAGTAAGTACAGAAAACAAAAACTAATTGTAATCTAGGGATGACAAACTTAAGTTTTAAACCAACCTTAATTGAGTCTCTAGGGGTGGCAAGTTTTACACACACACACACACACACACACACACACACACACACACACACTTTATTTAACATCCTTTTAGTCCAATTCTCTAGCTAGGCATATTTATATAGTAATTTTGGTATTGTTGCAAATATTAAATAATTCTCTACATACTGTTTTATAATTCACCCTTGGCATTTAATAATAATATCATGAGCATATTTTCCTGTCAAATATTCTTCATTTTCATTTTAATGGCTACATAGCAGTTGTCTATAGTAGCAGTTCTGAAAGGCAACTCTTCATATTCTTAAAAATATTATGAACCCAAAAGATATATTGTTTATATGGGTTATATCTATCAATATTTAATTTATTTGAAAATGAAAACAAATTTTAGAACACAAGAATACACAAACACACATTCTATTAGTTGGTAGAGCAATGGCATCATTACCAAACCGCCTCTAGAAAATTCCACCATATATTCATGAGAGAATGACAGTAAATAAAACAAGTATCTTCTCAATATCATGATGAAAATAGTTTTGACTTCATGGACCTTTGAAAAGGTCTTTGCACTTTAAATGACTGCCAGTTAATATTATTTTGCAAATTGCTCTTTTACTCAAACTTATGTTTTCTACGTCTACTCATGTTAATACACATAGCTATAATGTATTTATTCATTTTAACTCTGTATTTCTACATTTAGCCTGTGTTTCTCTATTTTACAAATCTTTCATTCATTTCCCTGATGACTGACATCATACTGTTCCCAAATTTTTGCTACTACAATTGATGTTCGAGAAACATTTATAGGAGTAGTCCCTACTCTTTTTGGCAACAGGGACTGGTTTCTCAGAAAACAATGTTTCCACAGACCAGGAGCGGGGAAGGGGAAATGTTCTGGGGATCATCAAGTGCATTACACTTATTGTGCACTTTATTTCTATTGTTATTACAATGTAACATATAATGAAATAATTATATAACTCATCATCATGTAGGATCAATGGGAGCCCTGAGCTTCTTTTCCTGCAATTAGATGGTCCCATCTGAAGGTGATGGGAGACAGTGACAGATCATCAGGCATTAGCTTCTCATAAGGAGCATGCAACCTAGATCCCTCACATGCCAGTTCACAATAGGGTTTGGGTTGCTATGAGAATCTAATGCCGCTACTGATCTAACAGGAGGTGAAGCTCAGGCAGTAATGTGAGCAATCAGTGATGGAAAGCGGCTGTAAATATAGATGAAGCTTCGTGGGAAGGTTGGGGGAGGGGGGCTCTAATATATAGGATTTCTGTCACAAACACAAAAACATTTTTCTAGTATGCATTTCTAGAAGAAGGATTTCTCATATGTATTTTCAACATTATTAGGTATTGACAAGTTTCTCTCAAAAGTAAATATACCCCAGCCTGGGTAACATAGCAAAATCCTGTCTCTTCTAAAAATACAAAAATTAGCTGAGCATGGTGGTGTGTGCCTGTGGTCCCAGCTATTCAGGATGCTGAGGTTGGAGGATCACTTGAACCCAGGAGGCAGAGGTTGCAGTGAGCCAGAATAGCACCACTGCACTCCAGCCTGTGCAACAGGGAAAGACTCTATCTCAAAAAAATTTTTTTAAATAAATATATCAATTTACATTCTTACCTGGTTCCTTCTTGTTGTCCTTGCTAATTATTGGTATTGTCAGATTTCTGGAAGCTAACAATCTGGTGGGTGTGAAATAATATCATATCATTGGTTTAATGTGCATACCCTACTTACTAGTAAGGCTGACCTCCTTTACATATATTTAGTGGCCATTGTAGGTACATTTGTCTATTTTTTTCTTATTGAGCCAATTATCTTTTTTATAAAGATAAAAAAAGGAGTTCTACATGACTTTCTATAAGACACTTACCCTATTCTGTTAATATGTTGCATGCATATTCTCCTGTCCATTATACATCTTTTAACATTGCTTACACTGTCTTTTGATGCTAAAGTTTAAAATATTTAATTTAGTAAAAACTGCCAATAATTTCGAGTTTTGCTTTATGTGTCTTATCTAAAAAAATAACTCTCATGCCTCTCATTTTTGCTTGTAATCTTACAGAATTTTTGTCACAAATAAGAACTTAATCCATCTGAAATTAGCTTTTTTATATAGTAGCAAATTTGAGACTTAATTTTGTCCCCACCATGGAAAATTTATTATTCAAACATCTAAGATTGAGAGGTCACTCTTTTTGCCAGCGATTTGTAGATCTATCCAATATGCCTAGATCTGTTTCTGAATTCTATATTCTATTACCTTGATCTAGTTTTGAAAAATATCTTCACAATGATGCAATACTACTTTATTATAGCTCTATTTCTAATCTGAACATGTGATAAACCCCATTATTCTCAACTCAATGTTTTTTTCCCCCCTCTTTCTTTTTTAGAATTGTTCTAAATATTTGGGGCCCTTACTCAGATTAATTTTTAAAGTAATTTTGAATCAATTTGGTTGGGATTTTTATTGGAGTTACTCTGCATTTATAGATAGATTTGGAAAATCATTACCATAAGGAAATGGCTTATTACCAATATGAACATGATATAGTTCTCCATTTACTTGTCTTTTTAAAAAGATAATTTAATAATGTTTTGTATATCTTCTTTAGGTATGCTTTTAAGTACCTAATAGTTCTTGTTTCTATTATGAAATGCATTTTATTAAATACTAGTTTCTAATTGTTCTTACTGGTGTGGAGCATATTATTAAGTTTGGTTTATTGCTCTTATATCCAGTAGCAACCCTGCTAAATTTTTATTAAATTTAAGCAAATCTAAAATTTATATATTTTTCCATTTTTCATCCAGTCATATTGTTTTCCTCTATTCTAATCCTTTGAGCCTCTTTTTTTCATGCTGCATATTATGGTCTCAAATGTTCATATGTTGAAGTCCTATGCCCCAGTACCTCTGATTCTGACTGTTTTGGAGAGAGAATCTTCCTTTAAAGAGGTAATTAGGTTATTATATAAGGTCATCAGGATAAGCCTAATTCAATATGACTGATGGCCTTATAAGAAGAGATTAGGATACAGACATGCCCAGAGGAAAGACCATGTGAAGACAGAAGACGAAGACAGCCGTCTAAAAGCCAAGGAGAGAGGCCTCAGAAGAAACTAGCCTACTGACACCTGGATCTCAGACTTCCAGTCCCCAGAACCAAGAGAAAATAAATGTCTATTGTTTAGCCCACTCTGTGATACTTTGTCATAGCAGCCTTACTATACTATACTACCCTAGACTTCCAGTAAAATGCTATGCAAGAGTTGTGACAGCAGGCATATTTGCATTGTAAGGTAGTTCCCCTTATCTGTGGCTTAGCTTTCCACAGTTTCTGTGACCCTCAGTCAACCACAGTCCAAAAACATTAAATGGAATGTTCCAAAAATAAACAATTTATAAGTTTTAAGTTGTGTACTGTTCTATGCAGCATGATAAAATCTCACACTGTCCAGCTCTGTGCTACTCAGGACATGAATCATCCCTTTGCCTAGTATATCCACGCTGTATACGCTACCCACCTTTTAGGCACCCAGTAGTTGTCTCATCTATCAGATTAAAAAAACATAGTATGTATAAGGTTCAGTACTCTTTAAATTTTCAGCATTCACTACCAGGGGTTTTAGTGCATGTTACCCACTAATAAAGGGGGACTAATATACCTAACTTTAAAGAGAATGTCTCTGAAGTTTCACAAATGACCATGACATTTACTATAGGCTTTTGAAGGACTCCCTTTAAGTAGTTAAGGACGTTCTCCAGATTTCTAAGACTGTTTTTTTAAATAATAAAATCATATGTATAAAAGTATAACAGGAATATATACACAATTTAAAGTTAGAAGTAGTTAAGTTAAAAAATAGAAAATGATCAGTATTTTAGAAGCTTCTTTGAGCCCATCACTGATGATATTTCCTGCTATCATCCTTAAGATGAATACTATCTTGAATTTAGTTAATTCTTCCTTAGTTTTCCTACGTATGAATGTATCCTAAATAATGATTTCATTTTCACAGTTTTGAACTTTATACAAATAGAATTATACTTTGTATTTTTGAACTGCTTATTTTGTTTACCATTATGTTTCTGAGACTCATCTAGTTAAAGCACTGTTATAATGCATTTGTTTTCACTATTCTATAGTATACTATATGAATATATCAAAATTTATTTATGGTCTAGTATTGATATATTAAAGTTTTGGGGCCACTATATATAATCTATAAACGTTCTTGTGAACCTCTCCTGCATATAAGGAGGAGTTTCCCTAGGTATATAGACTGGTATATACTAGATACCAGTGTATTTAGTCTAGAAATTACTAGATTGTAGAATATATTTAAACTCAACTTTACAAGGTATATGTGCAAGCACTATTGCAGAATTTAAATGCAGGCATGCATTTACTAGGTATAAGGTAGGCATATCTTCAATTTTAGTAGATAATGCCAAATTGTTTTTCAAAGTGGATATACCAATTTATGTTTGCACATGAGATTTACCCGTAATCTACATTTTCACCAACTCTTAGAAATGTCCATCTTTGTTTTTCCCTGATAATCTGGAGGATAAAAAAGGCAACCTGATGTGATTCGATTTGCAAAAAAAATTATAAAATGTATAAAAATATGTAATATTTAAATTATATACACATAAATGCATGCACATATAAAATTTGTGTATATCCACCAAGAGCTTTAACTCACCTGTTTGGAAAGTGACTTCCAAGTTTTGGCAACTAAAATAAACAAATGTAAGATAATTAGATAATAAATACTTCATGTAATATATACCCATATTTGCTAACCATCTATAACCATAACTGATAACTAAACTTTTATGTGCAAAAGGCAAAGTTTTTTTAACCTCAAAATTTGGATCTGTAATTTGATCTTACATATATTATCTATTTGTTTTATATATTATGCACTGTTTATAATAAGTATCAGTGATATAGGAAACATTTCTCCACAGTGATATCATCTTAATTTGGGGCTTTCTGGACTAATAAAGTTAGCCTAACTTTCTCCATGTTAAACATCTTGTGGGCTTAAAAGTAAAAATAATGATACTTATGAAATATTCAAACTAGAATATAAAATAATATTAACATAGATAAACTATAATTTTAAGGTATTCTTTGTGATCTTTCCTATACTATTGTTCCATGACATAATTCATAGGTCAGGTCTCTCTAGGGTGAAGAAGGATTGGAGAAAGAGAAAAAGAAAGGAAAGGAAAGGGAGGTTATGTGAAGTGATGGGGAAACTTGTCCTGTTTCATTATTTTTCCCTGCAACTATTCAAGAAGCATCTCTGAATTAAGAGTGTTATAGCTGAATAAGATATCAGGGATCACTTTCTTTTTCTGATTCCTCCTCATATCCCCAAAGATCTCGAACACTATAAAACTTATAATATTGGGACAAATGTGTAGTCAGTATTGCTATTTCCTTTGCTCAGATTTGTAAATATTTAATGTAAATATTTAATGCCTGCCTAAGAATTAGCGCCAGGTTTAGATGCAATGAAGCCCTATAATAAGCTATGTTAGGAAACTGGTAAATATTAATTATTTCAGCTACATTACAATAATGCCAACCAACATCTTTTTCTACCTCAGAATGGTGCTATTTCATATAATTAATAATATATCAAATTCAAAATAACAATAAAAGCAATTTTTGCTATGTAATTTTTCTTTATTAGGCAATAAAACAACTCAATTTAAAATCAAAAGAGAAGAAATATGTTTCTAATGATAGATTTCTTCTTTAAGTAGCAACAACATCCTTCCTCTGTCCAAGATCATTTATACAAATGTGTAATCAAGTGATTCAAATCACAGGTCTACACGTTGGAATTTAGCATGTAACCTTAACTATGATACTATCTACGTTCATTTTGCAAAAACACTTCCCTTTTAACAAAGAATAGAACAATACAAATAATATTTATTATTCTGTTGCTCTTAAAATATAGCAGTAAGAAGAAAAATAAATGGCAGAAAAGTACATGCACATGCTGTTATGCAATGCTAAGAAGATATTAATCAAAAGAGGAAGTTAGAGGTACTCTTGAGTTTTGTAGGGTTTATGAGATTTCCATGGTAAATTATTCACAAAAGCCATATTCATTCTGCCGGAAATGTCACCATGTTCAGTATTATTAGCTTTTTAAATAAAGACTAAAGAGCCATCAAGATTGTTCTTCAAAGGATTTTCTGACTTTCTAAATTCCTTATTTTCATATGAAGTTACTGCATATATAAATATAACTTAGGTAGAGGACTTCAATTCCATTGGAAATATTATTTCTTAAGCTGTAGGTTGATGTTCATTATATTTTAAATATATTTCTGTATGTCTGAAAAATTTAACAATAAATGTTTAAATATCTAAATTAAAATAATTCTTGATGCTATGTTGGAAAATAATTATTGATTTTATAGTTCTAGAAAAGAAAGTCACCATTTAGGTTCTATTTAAGTAAGCAAAACAAGATTGTAATGCAAAATTATAATCAACAATCAGATATCTCAACATTTATTTGATCTATAACTTTAAAGCAAATATTTACACAGCATACCATCTTTTCCCTTTTGAATGTTATCATAAAATGATATCAAAGACTTTTAAAAATCATGACTATGATGTTAAACAGGGAAAAAAAAGTGAATGTTATATAAATATTTGCTTAAAAATTATCATGGCTATGGGCTGGGTGTGGTGGCTCACACCTGTAATCCCAGCACTTTGGGAGGCTGAGGCTGGAAGATCACCTGAGGTCAGGAGTTTGAGACCAGCCTGGCCAACATGGTGAAATCCTGTCTCTACAAAAATACAAAAATTAGCCAGCCATGATGGCAGGTGCCTGTAATCCCACCTACTTGGGAGGCTGAGGCGGGAGAATTGCTTGAACCCAGGAGGAGGAGGTTGCAGAGAGCCGAGATCAGGCCATTGTGCTCCAGCCTAGGTGACAGAGCTTGACTCTGTCTTGGGAAAAAAAAATCATGGCTATGAATTCAAATGATGATGATGATGATAATGACATAACAATATTAAATGTTTACTGTGTACCACATACTATACTAAGCACAATTGATTAATTATATCTTCAAAAAAAATCATGAGGCTATTATTTTTATAAATGAAGAAACAGAAGATTAAATAACTTAACCAAGTTTTCAAAGCCAGTAAGTGCCCAGGATTAAACACAAATCAAATTTCATTACGACACATTTTGAATGTATCTGATTTAATACTCCATGAAACATTTTTCTATTCTTTTTCTTTTCTAAAACCCCAACTTTCAAAACAGGTTTTATGAATATCTTGATCTTATGCGATTGTTCTTAATTATGTTTGAAAAGTGGTGGTTAGAAATTAACTGAGGTTGTGGTTATAAAATATCCTGAATACATTTTTTGTATTATGAAACCAGTTTTTTACTCTTAATTTATGGTTTTCAAATACCTATCAGAAGAATCACCATAAAAGTTATTTCCAAAAAGCAAAGTCCAACAGTGTGCTTCCAGTGAGTGTTTTGTGAAGAAAAAAATTCTAGAAAATAATGAAGTACAAGTTTTCAAAATATGAAATTTAGGCCAGGCACAGTGGCTCATGTCTGTAATCCCAGCACTTTCAGAGGCTGGTGGGGGGGACTGCTTGAGCCCAAGAGTTCAAGACAAGCCTGGGCAACATAGCAAAACCCTGTCTCCACAAAACGATTTAAAAATTAGCTGGTGGCATGGCAGTGTGTGCCTGTAGTCCCAGCCACTTGGGAGGCTGAGGTGGAAGGATCACTTGAGCCTGGGAGGTTTAGGCTGCAGGGAGTTGTGAACACATCATGGCACTCCAGACTGGGGGACAGGGCAAAACCCTGACTCAAAAAAATATTATAGATTATCAAGTATCATTTAAAGAATAGCTTTCAAATATGTTTGAAAAAATTATAGAATTGAATATAAAATACCATTTAGCATCTAAGAAATTCCTTCCTTCAAGACGTATTTATTGTATACCTATCATGTGCCAGGTAACCATATTCTACCTTGGAGCTGGTTGTTTCCGTATCTTATGTCCTCTCATAATATTGTAAATTTCTTGAGTGCACAGACTTTGTATCCCTCGTAGCACACAGAAAAGTCCCTTAATACCGAAGTAGATGTATAGATATTCCATACGTTTTTATTTAATTGATTTGGTACAACACAGATTATTTATATTTATTAATAAATTAGTATTAAACCTATACTAATTCAGTAATAATGAATCTATGTTGTATCAAATGGATTAAATATAAGGGATATAATTCTTATCCTAGCCTCCAAATTTTTAAAAGAACAAAAAGAACACCACTTAATTTTCGACCTTTCCTATCACTATATAATCCTACACATTCCTTAAATGGCTACATGACTATACCACATACTGTCTTGATTTCATGTTTTTGCTTATGTAGTTACCATTTCTTTAGATGCTACCCTCATAGTTTCTAGTTAAAATTTTTTTTAATTTAAAATTTTGCATGATCAAAAGTGTCTACTTCAAATTCCATTCCAGCTACCTTTCAGTTCCTTTCTCTTTTGCAACTAAATATTTTAAAAGTCCTTTACACTCATCGTCTTCATTTCTTCATCTGCTACTCACTCCTGCAATTGCCCTAATGACTCCACTGAAACATCATTATAAAAAACCATCAATAGCCTTCATGTTACCAAATCTAGTGGGCATTTTCCCATCCTGAATTAACTTGAATTCTCAGTAGAATTCCATTCAATTGGCAATTCTGGCTATTTTACTTGGCTTCTGTGACTACATACCCTTATGATTTTCTTCCTATGTCTCTGGCCACTCCTATGTCTCCTTTTGAAGCTCATTCTTTCAAAGCCCTTTGTCCATTCATCTTTTAAAGAACAGAAATTCCTCAAGGCCCAGTCTTTGGTTATCTATATTCTCATTCTATACAGCTTTCCTATGCAATGTCATTCATATACATTGTATTAGTTAGCAATCATGCAAAGATGAATCCTAAATACGTACTTGTATCTCTCCCTTGATATCCAGTGGAAATAATCCCAAGAATCAAAAATTCATTAAAAGCTAATCTGTCAAGTAGCCAATATGCCAAGTTATTAAGCATTTATTTTAAGGGTCATTTTTGCCATATCACTGACTCTGGAGAAAAAAATGGCTCTAATTGTTTTAGTTTAAGTATTTGTGTGACAGTTTCAAGCACATATGGGTTAAACAAATGATTATTTGGCTTACTGATTTTTAGTGAGTTATCTTTCAGTGAACTGAAATGAATTATTAAGAAAAATCCTACTGTAACCTTTTACATATCCAAAGTGTCTCAAATAGATCATGACCAAAATTGAAACTGTGATTTTTCTCCTCAAACCTGGTCCCTACTGCCATCCATCCAGGTAAGCCAGCGAGAAACCCTTAGTCCTCATTACTCTTGACCACCATCTGTAGAGGCTTTTGAAGCCTAAACTATCAGTAGCCAATTGTGATACAGTATCAAGGAAAACTATCCATAATTATCTATTAAAATATTTTTTTTACAACCTATATCTGTGAGGTAGCTTTTCTTCATATACTTAATGGAAAACAACATATTGTAACAGATCAAATAAAAAAGCACATGTGAGAATACAGCTGTCTTCTGTTAAGTTAGATATTAAGAGATTTGTAAGAATTTACATACTGCCAAAAAGTTTGAGAACCATTGGTCTAATGCATGAAAAGGTCAGAAATAATTAAACTATTAATATATTAACACTACAGGAGCTATGACAAATTTAGAAGAAATACAGGTAGAATTCTTGCCCAGGGCTAACCTCAAAACCAGTTCTCTGAATTACTCTGTTCAGGTTTGATATAAGAATGAATAGGCAGAATATGAGTCTTTTATAAAGAGTATCTAAAGTAAGGTGATGTTATGCTGAGAAAGATAGAGCACAATTGAAAGTTTCTGAAAAGAGAAGAGAGGTAAGAGTTTGGAAGAAATACCAGTTTGATAACATTGAATAGCACAATATTATGTGAAATGCCACATTATTCAGTTCTTCTAAAAATACTTATACTGCTCTATACATTTAAAAGTTAGAGATAAAAAAATTATAAAATTATTAAGATAATTTCAAAAGTATACTCACACTTGGGCTCATCTGTTGTAACAGCCAAAATAAAATCATATGGAGTCATGAATAACTGCCCTTCACATTCTACAGAAGCAAATAAACGAAATCGCCTCTCCCGAGATGTGGCATAAAGGTCTAAGTCTTCAGTGTCTGTTCTGCCAATAGCAACCTAAAGTTGAGAAGGCAAATTTCGATCATGTGAATTAATACCTCCTTCTAGAAGATACTTTTAATTATGCTGAAAGTGAATTAACAGAGTAAATGAAGGGTGAGAATATCTTCTAAAAAATATTAATCACTTTATTAATAAATTATTCACATACATAAAATTAATTAATATTCAAAAGATCCTATAATAAGTATCATTAAGAGCTTAAGGATTTTAAACTGGCACTTTGAAGAAGTGATTTGTGATTTTTTTGGTTTACTTCTTAAGCTTCAGTCTTAGAGAACATTTAATTATGGAGCCAAAGGTACCTTTAGAAGGAACACCAGCACCTGCTGAATGTCTACTATGCACTCTTACAGGCTAATGTATTTAATTACAAGTCTATTCACAACAGCCATTATTTTTCTAAAAGAAGAAAGTAAAACCCCAATAGGCCACTTATAATTACCACTAAGGAAACCATTTAGTGGTAATATTTAGATTCAAAGTGAAATTGCTAATTCTAGATCACTAAAGGATAGTGACCATCACTGGTCTGAATTTTACCTAGAATTAAAGTTTGCTGAAAATTAACAGAATTAGAAAGTGTGTTGTATGTGGGGGGAGGGGTCTCTTTTCCTTCATTTCAAGACCTTTCTTTATAGATAATTTTCCACTGTTATTTTCTCTCTGAAGTAACCAGAGCAAATTAATTTTTTTAATAAAAAAATTTATTTTCCTGATTACAGGAGTAATGCATGGCTATTACATGCAACTTAGAAGACAGAATTTTTAAAAATTTGTAAGAATAATTTTATTTTTGGCAAAAAAGTGCGATTTTACCACACAATGCTGTTCAGCAACCTGGTATTTTTCACTTATCAATTATCAGGGCCATTTTTCTATGTCACTAAATATTCTGGTAGTTACTGTATAAAATTGGAAGACAGACTTTAAAAATTTATAGGTATAATTGTTTTTGCTTTCTTTTGGTAAAGAAAATGGGATTATACCATATATATTGTTCAGTAATCTGGCTTTTTTACTTACTAAATCTTCAGGACTATTTTCCTATGTCACTATTCTTATAGAAGACCATTTTTGTTAACTGTATGATATTTCATAGTAAATGTTTATAGTATAACATAAACAATTCCACATGGTTATTCAGTTAATTTCTAATCTTTTGCTATAACAAAAAATGGTACAATGCTGAACCCTGAAAATATCTAGAAGTATCCACAAACAGTTCACAGGATACATTTTTTGAGACAGTTTCACTCTGTCACCCAGGCTGGAACACAGTGGCAAGATCTCAGCTCACTGCAACCTCTGCCTCCCGAGTTCAGTTCTCCTGCCTAGCCTCCCTTAATCCTAAGGAGTGAAGCTGATTGGTCAAAGAAGTCCTTTTAGTCAAACTGTCTTCAGGGAGTTATAGCAATTTACATGATTATCAATAATACAAAAATTATATTTTCACTTATTTCATAAAAATTATTTCATATAAGGAAAAAACTATTTAAATATTTAGTACCTTGAGAAGCCATAGCAAAAACAATCCATAGAAACTTTTAGCAAGAATACTACTTTATTTCTAAGTTACACCTTATTAAATGAAAAGCCAGGCAAATGATTAATCTTTTTCATCATTCTGAAGACTAAGACTTCTCAAAACATTACAGTAGCAGTTAAGTAAAAACTGAAAAAAAGTTTCACTCCCCACTTTTAACGGTGTAAGAAATGGAATTTGTGGTGTCTGTCTTTAAGGAATGAATACCAATCTATATGGAAAGACAGAATGCTAGTTGGAGAGACAAAAGGCACAGAGAAAGGGAATGGGTTAAATGCAAGCAAACGGAAGAAAGGCAGTAGAGGGTGAGCTTAAAAAGAAGGTTTCAGGAAAAATTACAATTTTAACGCCAGAAAAGATATGAACATTTGGGGTTTCTACAGCATATCTGAAAGACGGTCATAATCTTCCTGAGCAGAGGATTGACATTAATGGAAAAGTGTGGTAAAAGTATGGCATGCTAATGATTTCTGACTGCCAGACTAAAGCCCTGGAGCTGAATTTGACAATAAACAAATGGTCTTAGGAGTTGCTGAAGTGGAGCAATGACTCAAAGAAAATGGTGCTTTAGAAAGACAAAGCAGCCTAATACTAAAGACAAGTTGGCTCAGCAGTATACATTGATAAAAACTGCCCAGGTATCCACAGGTACTGGGAAATTGTTTTGGCTCTGCCGTGGGTGAGACATGAGATACTGAACAACTCACGGGTAAAAATGAGCAATAATCTCCCTGAATAATCCTCAGGGATCAGAATACCATGTTAGTCCCCTTGTACACACATATCCCAGGGGTTTCTTCCTCCTCTCAAGGTGGGAAACCAATCTTATCTGTAAAAGAGTTGACTTTTCTGCCTTTTTCTTGCTAGGCCATTTCCCTGGGCCTAGGGGACATCAATCAACCATGATTTCTCACCAGTGAATTTCATGGAGGATCACTCAGCCTGGAGCTCCCACTGTTTATGCACCCTTATCTGAAGCATGCCTTGGTCAAACATTCTGCACCCCAAGTTTCTGCCTATAACATCTATATTTGCTCTGACATAATCCAGACTTGATCTGTGGCTTCTGTCTCTACCTGGTGTTGCCACTACTGCTCCTGATATGCCTGTTTTCTCATCAAACTTTCTGTCCTTAAGCATAGTCTATCAATGCCCCAGCTTACCAAACCTGTCTGACCACTGCAGCTGGGAATATGATCCACCTTACATATAAGCTAATGCTGGCAGCCCCTCCTCCTCCTTTACCTCTTCTAACAATCAATTAACAAAGCCTGTAGTCCTCTCTCTAATTTCACACATCAAAACCACTGCCACCACCTTTGTTCAGGAACTCATTATTACTTCCCTACGGTTTTATAGTAATGGCCTGTGATTGTTACTTCTAATCCATCCTATGCCGAAGTGGGAAAAAATAAGAACTATAGAAAACATTGCATTCTTTAACCCCCTGAGTAAGGATATGAGAAGAAATCTCACCAAGCAGAGTTGAAGGTTGTCATTAAAACTCCACTGTATGAATCCACTCCTGTTGTCTTAGCAATGGTATTAGGTGGGGGTTTGATAATGTTATTAGGTGGGTGCCCACATTTCTATTTAGCACCATTTTAAAAGAAGATCAGGAAGGAGTTTGGAAAGGGTTTGTGCCTCAGGCAATATATATATATATATATATGTCCTAAAAGGAAAGACTATGTATAAAAGAGATAACCAGAGGCCTGGTGCTTAAAGGGGGTTCCCAGTATGGCCAACTCATTGCTTCCTCCATTGTCTCTGCTCAATTTAGTATAATGAAGCACACAGTCTAATAAAACACATGAAGACCGCTCAGATGAAAAAGGACTGGTAAAAAGTATGTAACGGCCAGGCGTGGTTGCTCATGCCTGTAATCACAGCACTTTGGGAGGCCAAGGCAAGAGGATCACTTGAGGTCAGGAGTTCGAGACCGGCCTGGTCAACATGGTGAAACCTCGTCTCTACTAAAAATACAAAAATTGGCTGGGTATGGTGGCACATGCCTGTAATTCCCAGCTACCTGGGAGGCTGAGACAGGAAAATCACTTGAAACCTGTAAGGCAGAGGCTGCAGTGAGTCGAGATCACACCACTGCACTCCAGTCTGTGTGACACAGCAAGACTCTGTCACAAAAAAAAAAAAAAAAAAAGTAAATAACAATTTCCCTATGATAACCCAGTAAACTGGTCTGATCCCAGAATAGTCTACTTATCCTCAACTAGGAGAACTCAGCTCATCTGATTGGAGAATGAGATGGGATGGAGAGCAGGACAGAAAACCAATACTTGGGTTGGTTTTTAAGTTCTCTATTCTCTTCTACCAACTTATTTGTCTCTTCCTACTCAAATACCACATTGTTTTAATGACTATATCTTTTGAATATGTTTTGACATTAAGTAAAACAAGACTGTACCTGTCAATCTTTTTTGTTGAGATGGAGAGTCGCTCTGTCTCCAGGATGGAGTGCAGTGGCATAATCTTGGCTCACTGCAACCTCCGCACCCCCCAACTCCAGTTTTAAGTGATTCTCCTGCCTCAGCCTCCCAAGTAGGTGGGACTACAGGTGCACTACCATGCCCAGCTAATTTTTGTATTTTTAGTAGAGACAGGGTTTCACCATGTTGGCCAGGATGGTCTCAGTCTCTTGACCTCATGATCCACCTGCCTCAGCCTCCCAAAGTGCTGGGATTACAGGTGTGAGCCACTGCACCTGGCCACTGTCAATCTTTTAAAAAATATTTGTGATGACTGATATGTAATGTAGAAATCAGTGTATCAAGTTCTATTTTAAAAATGCTACTGGTATTTTGTTTGAGATGATATTAAATTTTGGGAGAATTGATAGTCTCACAACATTGAATTTTCCAACCTAGGAACACAGATGTCTACTTATTCAAGTCCTCACCTATGTCTTGCAATAAAATTTTGTAGTTTTCTTCACATAAATTAAAAACAAATTTTTGGTAGAGTTACCCCTAAGCATTTCATAGTTTGTGTAATTTGAACAAGGAATGAGACCTTTTATTTCTATTACATTTTCAATTGGTTATTTCTTACGTGTGGGAAGGCTATTAACTTTGGTATATTTGCTTCATATCCAACTATCTTATTAAATTCCTTCACTAATCCTAACTTTTTTTCTCAGATTTTCTAAGTGGATAATCACAAATTCTTTCAAAATGGCCACAGTTGTAGCTTCTCTTTTTCAACATTTATATCTCATTTTCATTGCCTTAATTGCTAGAGGTGTAGGTCTATAAAAATAATGTTAAATATTATTGTAATATTAAGCACGCTTGACTTTTTCTATGTTTTGAAGAGAATGCTTCCAATGAATTGCCAATAAAAGCAATGTCTGCTGTTAGTTTTGATAATTATCGTCTACCTTGTAGCAGGAATGGGTATTCATCTGGTCTCGTTTGTTCTCTGAAAATGAGTT